CCTGTCCATCTCAGCATACTCTTAAGTCTTTTTTGCCACTAATTTCTAATTATTGAACCAAGGTACCAAAAAAAGGTCACATTGGGTTATCTCTTGGTTTCTAATCCTAAGAATACCCTTATTTGCACTCCTATTATTATTAAATTTACACATCATATATTCTGTTTTAGTCTTATTTTAAAACATCTTGTTTCTAAGGAATTTGCCCAAAACCTTAATTTTGCATTTAATCTTTCATTAATTTCATCAATTAAAAAAAAATGTCATAAAAAAGCAACATGCACCATGGGACCCCCTCCTAAGTATGTTTAGTCAACACATGTGCATTATATCTTTTTTTAATTAATAAAATTGATAGTTATCCATCGAAAAAAGCATACTCTTGGAGATTTGGGGAGCTGAAGTATTTTCTGGGCATTGAGGTGGCAAGGTTCAAACATGGGATCTTCATTTCCTAGAGGAAGTATGTGTCAGACCTACTATAGGTAGGGGTGGCAAATGGGTGGGTAGGGGTGGCAAATGGGTGGGTTGGGTATCAACCCACCCATATTGACCCTCCAACCCATTTTCCACCCATATTTATTGATGTTAAGGGTCACAACTAGACCTGTTCATGGGTCGGGTAGCCCGACGGGCTGACCTGGCCCGACTGTTATTAAGTTGGGCTTGGTCATAATTTTAGGCCCGCAGGCTCGGGCTCGGGCTTTCTCAAAAAAGCCCGACCTGAGCCCGAACCCGACTTGATACAATATATTAAATAATAAAAATATATTTTATTTAATAAAAAATGTATACAATATTTTTTCTTTGTTCTTCTCTTTTTTTCCAAGTAATAGTGAGATGTTTATTATTTTTGAGTTTTGAAGGTTTTTAATATAAATAAAACACTTTTTTATTGAATAAAAAAAAATCTTTTTTAAAATTTCTGCCCGAGCTCGGTCTTGGGCTCGGGCCTGAGTGTATTCTGTTGATACATATACAAAGCCTGGCCCGGCCCATGAACAAGTCTAGTCACAACCCACCCTGACCCACCCCATATAACCCATCCTAACCCAAACTGTGACATATTTTCTAATTTTCCATTATTTCAAATGCATTAAACATAGAAATGTCAACTAAGAAAACATAAAAATGATAAAAAGTTCAAAAACTATTTTTTCAAATAAAAACAAAAATGCACAAAAAAACTGAAAATGATAAATATATTTCATGTAAAACACAAAAAAATATAGAGGAAAATTAAATGAAAGTATCATTTCACATAAACATAGGAAATTGTAAAAAAATAGAAAATTGCAAAAAAAAACAAAAATGCAGAAATTTAGAAAAATATAAAATAAGAAAAATAGAACTTGCATAAAAACTGAAGAAATTATAAAAAAATATAGAAAAAACACAAAATTGCAAATAAATAAAAAATATAGAAAAATGTATAAACAACAAGACAACAAAAACTATGAAACATTTAGAAAATGATAAAATGCAAAGAAAATACAAAAATTACAAAAAATTGGAAAAGTATAAGAAATATAGAAAAACAACAAAAATTATAGTAAAGCAATAAAATGAAAATAAATAACAAAAGTATAAGAAAACCAAATGTAAAAAAATGTAGGAAAATTACAAAAATTGATAAGAGTTTTTTGAATTTTTTTATACAAGAAAATTGTTAAAACTATCGGTCTTTTCTTTATTTTTGTACCATAGGGGTATATGTGTAATTTTCTTTTTTATTAGAGTGAGTCACCCTAATATAAATACTAAACTTGGCGCCGCCAACAACACTTTTTTACTCCAAAATCTCTCTCTCTTCTCTCTTGTCTGTTCTGATCTTTTGGTGATATTTTACCAAGAAAACATGGTATCGAGTGGTAGATTTGGGATTATAAGCGGTTTGATAATTTTTTTTTTTTCTCTTATAACTTTTTTTCTGTGTCTCTTGTGGATTGAATCCAAGAAAGGGTGCATTGGGTTGACTTGAAAGGAACTTCTGTGGAATTCTTCCCTTTCCCTCTTGGTTGTGTGCCAAAAAAACTCCAAGGGAAGGCAAATGCTTGATTCCCTTTGATGATCTCAATTACCAAGAATGGTCAAGGGGAATCAAGCTTTACATAACTACAAGGGGGAAAGTGGGGTATATTAATGGTAAAGTCAAAGAACCAAAGTCTAGAAGTGTAGAACATGATAGGTGGGACCAGGGAAACAACATGGTGATGTCATGGCTGTTATTGTCCATGCTACCACTAGTAGGGAAGACCTTCATGTGGGCAGAAACATGTCTTGAGATTTGGGAGCAGGCTAAATCTACATATTCAGAACAACGACATTATGCCAAAATTTATCAGTTGCAAGCTGCCTCCTCAACATGTAAGCAAGGGGAGAGGAGTGTCTTTGTCTACTATTCACATTTGACCTTGATTTGGAAAGAACAAGACCATTATCAGAACATAGACTAGAAGTATGATGCAAATGCTAAAGCCTACAAGCCTCTGGTTTCCCAACAATGGGTTTTTGCCTTCCTTTTGGGGATGAACCCTACATATGAGTCTATCCAGGTTCAGATATTGGGGAGTAAAGATCTCCCATCAATGCAAGAAGTGTATGCCCTAGTATAGTCAAAAGAGAATAGACAGAATGTGATGAATAATTCTGAGAGGGAGTAGATTGCCTTAGTAGCAAAAGGGAGTGTAGATACAAGAGCTGGTAATTCCTTTAAGAAGAGTGACTTCTAGAAGAAAGTTGACGGATAAGCTATGGTGCACTCATTGTCAGAAGTCTAGACACACTCGGGATACATGTTGGGAACTCCATGGGAATCCAAAGTGGGCCCAGGAGATAAGCCAGGACCGCCCTTCCGTGATTGATCCCAAGGAAGATATCATTAGTTCTTTCTGTGACCATTTGGAGCTGTATGGAAGGGCAATCCGCTAGATGGATTCTTCTCATCCTCCCTCGACTTCCTTTGCATCTACATTAGGTAATGGTAATTTTGCCACAACTTTCCATGTGGCCTCTCATCCCTCAGACTCCCCTTGGATAATAAATTTTGGAGCCTTGAACCATATGACTAGTAAGCCAAATTGTTTTCAATCTTTTCATCTTTTATCTGGCAAGGACAAGGTGAGACTAGTTGATATAGCTCTTTCTCTACCATAGTTGGTCAAGGAACCATCTCCCTTCCTCTTGGACTTACCCTTTCTAATGTGCTACATGTTCCAAAATTACCTGTAAATTTGTTCTCTATTAGTAGTATAACAAATTCTATAGAGAACACTGAT